GGGAAATGGAGATTTTATGTATTGTCATTTAATCTTTATATTGTAATTACATTGTATATTGTTTAATCATATTACAATATGAGGCCACTAGAGGCAGAGTAGCCTAACTGCAATTTTATGACTTGAGTTATTTATATTTTCATATTCTAATAATCACCTTAATCTAAATGAGCACAGTGACCGAAAATTGTTGAGATAATTCATACACAAATAATAGTACAAATCCATTTTCGCCTAAGTTAATTGCGAATTTTTATTTTCCTCCTGATTGAAAATCGTGTATTTGTTATTAGGCCACTCTGGTTCTAGCAGCCTTATATACAAAGAAGATAGTTAATATGAAACAAAATTTTAAGCCTTGCGTCCTTGTTCTTTGTAGGCGTTTGTAAGAAAGAGACAATGCTCTGTTAATGTATAGGATTTTGTGAACTTTTATATTTATACTAGCCTAAGCCGAAGAGTTTTGTTTGTTTGTTTGAACGCGCTGATTTTCATTTTATAGGGTTTAATTTGAAAAATTCTTATTTTGTTGTTGGTTAGACTTTTTATCGAGGAAAATCTCGCTTCGACTAATAGAAGCGAAGAAACATTGGGAAATATGAAAAAGACGGGGAAAATTATTTATTCTTCTGAGTTACCGTTGCGTACGCTGCGAAAACGGTTCAAGATATCCATAAAATATGTATGAAAGAATGATTCCTCTTTAAATTATCTATAAAATGTCTGCGACAGTATATGTTATTGAGAATAACTTGCAAGAACGACTGTGTGCGTTTGCAAATGCCCGAAATAACAATTCCACGCAGACGAAGTCGCCGACTCAGCTAGTATATAATGTAAATCATTAAAATGACTAATTATAGTTGTCTAGCTAGATTCAAATAATAGTTTACAAGCAGTCCTGACATAGCATTTTCAATATCACTTGAATCACGTACATGGAATATTTATATAATGACATAGTTATTGTGTTGCAATAAGAAAATTATATGATCGATTGAATACGACATACACGTAATGAGATTCATTGCTTATAGCTAGTGAAACTATATATCTATACTAATATATAAAGCTGAAGTGTTTATTTTCTTTGGACGCGCTAATCTCAGGCATTTATCGAGGAAGGTTATTCGTTATAAAACATCACGCTGTGACTAATAGTCACGAAGAAACAGCGGGAAATATGGAGAAAACGGGGAAATTCCGGGGGGGTTGCGTACGAAAACGGTTGAGGATACTCAAAAAATATGTATAAAAGAATGATTTGTCTTTAAGCGATCTAAAAAATGTTTACGGCAATATATGTCCATCTTTTAAGATTAACTTGCAAAGACGACGGAGCGCGACCGACTTCGTGGGTAACAGGTAAAATTAATAAAGATTGGCACGGTATGTTGTTACCGCTGGGTTCGAGTCCCGCTTGAAACACAATATTATTTTAACGTGGGGTTCGAGTCTACTAGGAACAATTTCAAAATCAGTAAAAAATGTCAAGGGCGTATAACCTACGCACTTTTTATCTCAAACATTATGTATCATAATACATAACTTATAAGAGTTCATCATCCTTGGACGTTATAAAATCTTAGGCTGTGGTCAACTATAAACGCCGTAGATCAATAGCCGGGCACAGCTTCGTCTAGGCGTCATATTTTTTATTTTTGCAAAGAACCTAATCATACATCGTAATTGTTATCGACGATGTCGTCCGCGTCCCGCCGTTATTGCGAGTTCATCTTAAACGATAGACATATTACGTTGTTGACATATTTTTAAAAATTTAAGAAGAATCATTCTTTCATATATATTTTTGGTTTTTAGAACCGTATTTAGAACGCTCATAGAAGCCCTAAAAGAATAATACAGTTCCCCATTTTATCCACATTTTCCTCAATTTCTACGCCCGATGGTTCACAATCTAAAGCCTTCCTCAATAAATGCTTCAACAAACTAAAATATTTTTTCAATTAGAACCTCAGATTAGCGCGTCCAGACAAAGGAACTCTACAGCTTTCTAATATTAGTATAAATTGCAGAAAAGGATATTTGCGTTAATTTTTGACAATCTAGTCAAGTCCAACCAGATTAAACTTTCTGCTGACTGTTATTACTGTCTACGTCAAACCGGACGGTGTAGTTAGCCAGCTATAGGTACACACGAACAGCTTTACTCGACTCGTTCAATAAAGTCTATAGTCTGTGGGTAGCTTAAACGTCAAAACTGACAACTGTAACTGATTGCTGACAGCTAGAATTGAATTATAAGCCATAGATAACGCTAAGCGACCTGCAGCGTTTATGTTAGACCACGGCCTTAAAGATATGCAAATTAATTACACGCTATAGAGTATATGTTCGAAGAGAATAATGATAAAAGTCACATTTCAAAGCACGTTTATTAAAGCACGTGGCCCGAACGAGGTAACGTAGGTTATCGTTTTGGGAAAGAAAATATGTCTTGAGCCGGAACGAATACAGGGTGTGCCAAATTCTATAGGACACACCTTTACACCAGTTCAAAGTATATCACGTTTTTCGAATACGTTTAACCTTTGTCTTTATTGAGCGAAATGTTTAAACGACATCTATATCATTTAAAACGGTTTAAAATATATTGCTTAACTAACTCTAAGCAAAGCGCAAGTCCTGCCGTTGTATTTATTTATTTTTCTTAATTTATAATCGCTTTTTAAGATTTACGATGTTCTCACTTAGGATATTACCAAAAACTTACGTCATCTAGCGACGTAATGTAAAATAAGAATTCGACATACAAATTATTAAAAAAAAAACTGTAAAAATAATTTAAACTTAATATCGCATTTGTTTTGACAAAAAAATTAAAATATTTCCACGCCTAACTTTTTTTCGTTTTATCGGACTTTTACATATTAATAATGATTCAAGTAAAACGTCTTGAAAATTGGCGGTAGCTAGAGATATAGATTTTTTGCTATAATATTTAGTTTTTTGTAATGCTTCATTTGACTTATTAAAGATGCGACATTTATAAAACATTAAAATTCAGAAACTACCCGTGTAGCCTCTGTTTACAGTGTAAATAAGAGGAATAACATTTCGTTACTCTATACTAATATATAAAGCTGAACAGTTTTTTCGTTTGTTTGAACGCGATAATCTCAGAACCTACTGGTTCGAATTGAAAAATACAGAATACAAAACATCGTGCTGTAACTAATGGGAGCGAAAAAACAGAGAGAAATATGTGAAAAAAACAGGGAAAATTTACGAGTTTCCGATGCGTACGCTGCGAAAACTATTCAAGATACTCAAAAATATGTCTATCTTTTCAGAGAAACTTGCAAGAACGACGGGACTCGAGCGACATTGTGTGACACAGCTTAACTTATAAAGATGAAGTAAAGGTTTTCAAAAACAAATTTGGATGACGAAAATAACTCTTCTACGCGGACGAAGTCGCTGACACAGCTAGTAAGATAATAACTTTCATAGAAGTTTGAGTAAACAAACATCTATTTTATAATGTCACAATTTGTATTCTAGGCTAACTATAGAAAAATTGTATATTTATTACGAGTTTTATAGAGATACATCTTCGGAGACTTTATGTCAGAATAGTATTGTGAAATTTAAGAACGTTATCACTAATGTTAAAAAAATCTGCTAGCGCCATCTGTTTCCTCGTAGTCTGTGATTTGAGGAGACATTGATTATTAATCATTCATTGCTTATTTGATACTAAACTAGTATCGGGACGTCTTGATCGTCTCTAAGTTTATGTAAAGATATTATAAAATAATTAGATCTTCAAAACGTCGTTTTAAGGCTAGGCTTTGAAAATAAGGAACCAGTCTGAACACGTGAGTTATAGCCATTGTTTATATCTTATTAGTATTTATTATATTCAAAATGTAGCTACAAACGTGACCTGTCTTGGCAATATTTATATACTGCGCGGCCGAATTTTTCCATTCAAGTTCGGACCTTACGTTTGTGGATATTTTTATCTTGGCACTTATTTAAATGGTGCAATGACATGCGTCACGTGTTTATATATACTATTATTATATAGCTAAAGAGGTTGTTTGATTGAACGCGCTAATCTCAGGAACTACTAAATCGAATTTATCATTTCTTTTTTGTAGTATTGGTTAGAGCGTTTATCGATGAAGGCTTTACATATTTTTTGGGTATCGAACCAGTAGTTCTTGAGATTAGCGCGTTCAAACAAACAAGCTCTTCAGCTATATATATTAGCATAGTTTACGCACAAAAAAAAATTGTCAGCCCAAATTACTTTTTCTTGCCAAATGACGCAAACTACTTGCGTAAAACGATTTTATTAATCCTTTATCACGAAATGATAGTTTTCGTCGATATTATTATTTGAAAATCACGAATTATAGGAAATGCACGATTTCATATAAAATTTATTATTCAAAAACGATTTCAGCAATTGTTAAAACGAGCGAAATTGTTAAGTTCGCACTTAAGACAGTTACGAGGTTCCTTACACTCAAAACATCTGATCGTATTGATGCCTTAGATTATAAAAGAACTATTTTGGTAAGTATAACGATGTCCACTAAAAAGTGATGTATACTTAATATTATCTACGAGGCACCAGTCACATTTAACTAAAAATAAAATTAAGTTAAAAGCCTTCTGTGCCTTGTAAAACCGAAAAGTTTCCACTAATCTCAGGACCTCTTATAACTCAGTAGGAAGTGCGCCAAAGAATACATAATCTCTTTTTATATATTAACGACAACTCTATCGATTAAAAAATATTCTATCATACTTATACGCTAGTAATTATAATCGCATTAAATTGTCGTTATCGTTGTGAATTGTATGTTTTATTTATTTGATTAAAAGTAATTATTGCTAAGACGTATTTTAAATAAGATGCTTGCTACAATGAGATTTTGCACACTTAATTAAAAAATCGATGTTAGATTGTCACAATTTTACGATACGGTCAGGACCCCGCATCCACAGTGTTCCGTGCTGTTGCTCTAACCAATTGCTAATGTGTCATATACTTCTTCCTCGACTTTTTCGAAGCTATTGATAAATACACCTCTCGCGCTTCTGGCTTGGCTTGTTCGCCAGGCCAGAAGTTCGAAACCCCGCTGGTGCACTATAGTTATTATCTTTGTATTCGTAACACTTGCTCCCTGGTAAGGTCCGGGAATCAAAACTTTACTTGTGGCATCTGCTAACAGGCATTTGATCAGCTAACTAAATTAAGGCTATAGACCCAGATGGGTCATGTCCAAGTTATCCAGCTTAATAAGTTCATGTTAAATTGTAATTTAAACAAATTTAAAAGGTCTTTCTTTTAAGATGTGGAAGATAACGCAGAGATAAAATATGTTAAGCGTGATTTACCTTGTAATTTTTGCGATATTACCAAAATTACTCGATAAAAAAGGCGTTCAATGTACTATAAAGGTTTTTAACGAACGTCGTCTTATTTTTTTATTTAAATGTTTTTTTACTAATGACATACAGCTCTGGTCTGCTTACAGGGCACTGAAATTAAATCGAAAACGGGATTTATATCTTCCTCTTCCATCTTTGATCATTCTCATATCTTTCTTTGTATTGAATCCGATATTGAAGTCAAGCAAATATATAATTAAGTTTTACTTGTAAAAGATTAACCCCATTTCCCATACTGGGCTTGGGACACATGTTTTTAAACATTTTACTCTTAATATTAACTTTTTATTATTGTATTGTAACGCCTATTACAACTCGAGGAAGCAAAATGATTTAAAGACGATACAAATTAGAACCAATTATGGGAAACGAACCATCCTGTTTGAGGGAGTGAATGTATAACACATTTATATGCATTTTCCCAGCAGCGTTAAGCTGTCAAAAAGTTTAGCCATGTTTAAAAAGAAATTAATAAGTCACATCTTAAACTGTAACCCTATCGAATCCTAGTTTTATATAAAATAGCCTGAGGTACACCAAAGTTATTTATAAAACAATATATTTCTCGTTCTAAGTGAATTGTAAATTCTTACGAGTTAATAAACATCTTTAAACCTTATATTTCTGTTTATGCAAATAGTTGACCAGACCATTATGCTACCTGATTAAATAAATCATTGGGATCCCCCAGGGTTCGTACTTAGGACCTCATGTGTATGTGTGACTCACTAAGGTCTAGCAAAACATTACTCTCCGTTTCAAGTCGGATAATTATAACGACCGGGATTACCGTAATAATGGCTTCGTCTCGTGGCCGTAACATTCACGTGACGTAAAGAAACCGGTAAACAGTGTTTAGTATAATGCCATCGTAAACAAACACGTCATTTCCTAGGTAATACATGAATGAATCAATTACTTGATTACTTGTTTAATACTTATCATAATATACCTACGTCTTTGTAGATTGCAGGCACACACATTAAATAAAACTAATTTGAACAGGTTTAAACGGGAAGTTAGTTTATGAATATTTTAGCCCGCTCAAAATTGTTTTATTTTGTGTGTTGATACGAGTGTTTTATCGTATAATTAATTCACACTGTAAAATAATTAATAACCTAACTTGCATTTGTATTTTTAGACATTAATTTATACTAATTCCAAAAGTAGTCTCAGTTAACTAAAAATATTGGAACATTTCCTTCCTAGACCTAATTTTTAGAAGGTTATTGTTATCCCTTTGAAAGGCATGGCAACCATGGCAACCTCAATGCGTTATGTTATTCCTAGTAATGTAGTAATTCTCGCTTTTACTTGAGTCATTATGCTTTCGAATAAATGGGGCTAACTAATAGTTAAAGATTGTTTTCTAACTGGATGGTAATTTCTAATATTAGCTTGTACAAACACACAAACAGAGCTATTTTTTTTAGACTAGCAGCTGTTGGACTAGCTCGTTGGTCTAATGGTAGCAATGTATGGCTAATAATCAACACGTCGTGGATTCTATCCCCCCACCTGGATATTAAATGAGTGGTGTGTTAAAACCCGTTTCCCCCCCTGGGCGGGGGGCCAAAAAATTTGAGTCCGTTTCACTGATCCGTTCTTTTTAACGGGCAAGTAATGGATCAGGCAGAATGCCCTCGCCTGCCCGACCGAAACAATTTTATGTTTCCCGGGGATTCGAACCCACGACCTTTCGCGCTTAACGCAATGCTAGGCAATACGTTTAACCATTTGGCTACAGAGGCTGTCAAAATGAGTGGTAACAATATTAAAATTCACCACTGTTCACAAATAAAAAGCCGTGCCGCCCAAGCAACACTATTTAAATCTGCTACCGCATAGTTCAAGAACTTTTTAAATAAATCACAAAGATTACAATTGGTATCTTCAGGAAAGCTAATTTCCTGAGAATTATCAAATTGTGAGATAAGAGGATGTTTGGATTGGAGTACGTTGTATCCTATATATATTTTATTCTAATTCAAAGATCCTAGTAAATTTATAAGCTTAAATAAAGGGCATATCTTTAGGATCTTATCAATCTCTTGGAGGATAGAATTATTTGTTTTCAACTTATTTTAATTAATACGTTACTGCAGAAAGACAATAAAAAACAAGATTTGTATAATCTATTTATGGAGTGATATGCTAACAAGCGATCTCTTCCAGACAACCCAAGAAAGGAAGAAAGAGTTCTTCTAAGCAGCGAATGATTTTATTACAACACTTCATATTAGATTTGTCTTGTGTTTTAGTGTCGAAAATAATGTACCAAGGCCGACATAAAAAAACCTGTGTAATCCTAAACTAAAGGTTATCTTGGAGCTACCCAAGTGTTGGACGACCCTTCTCAAATCGCGAAGTCTAACATTTTACGACATTAGGTGCGAGTTATTTTACGGAAATAATTATGAGCAGGCTCGCACTTTACCGGTTTCTAACTGTACGGCCTCCAAATGATTTAAATGTGAGACTTTGAACGAATTAAGTGTCTAGAAACGTCTATTTTTGAAACTGTCCAATAAAACAAAAATGGCGGAAGTAAAAACTTAAAACTCGATTTGTGGACATGCGGTAGGTCAGTGACTGTATAAAAACAAATGCAAACTTTTACCAGGTTTTTATCAACAGCCCTGGAATTAGTCCCACCGCTGGGACTATCGCGTTGGCCAAATGCTTAATAGTAGTTATAAAAAGCTGACATGTTAAAGTTTAGGTTCGTGATGTTGCCAATTTTCGCACGATGTTTTTCTTTACTTAGAAAGATACACAAGGTTGAAATCATTTTTATGTAGGCCGGTTGAGCGCACTCGTTAGGTAATCCGAACTTTAGTAATGTTCACTTTATTCATAGAGTAATATCAAATGCGCATATAACTAAACCAACAAAGTCTATCTACTAAGCTTGGTCTGTTTCAATTTTACAACAACGAGAATGATGGTTACACAGGCCTACTATCAATGTCTCCAATAGAAAACAACAAATAGCATAGCATGCTTTTTGAGAAAAATAAAACCAATAATGGAATAAAAATCCTCAATTTAATAACTACAGCACTTTTAAATAAAACACTTTAACGGTTTAAAACGCGATATATTAGTTAAGCTTATTTGAAAATGATTTTTAACTTCGGCCCGACGTTTCGGGTGAAAAAAGTTTAACTAATATATTGCGTTTTAAACCGTTACAGCGTTTTATTTAAATGTGTACTACTCGCGTAAACTATAGACAGTATTTAACTACAGCACTGTTAGTTTTCATAAAAAGCAATGCTTAGTATTTAGAGTCGTGAAACAATGATCGTCCAATCGCCAATCCAGTTTGCAGTAGGGTCAAAACGAAAATCTTTACTGCTTAGCAACAAACACCACCACTTAGCAACAATATTAGCTATAACATAAATCACACACTAAGATAACCATAATTAAGTAAAAATAATATAACATTTATTATGAATTAATTTACACTTATCTTATCTATACTAATATTATAACTGAAGATTTTGTTTGTTTGAACGCGCTATTCTCAGGAACTACTGGTCCGAATTGAAAAAGTTTTTGTGTTGGTTTATCGAGGAAGGCTTTAGGCTATTAACATACCCTGTGAACAATTCGAGTTAAGAAACAGTATGAAATGTGAAAAAAAACGGGGCGAATGGCTAAAATTTGTGGGTATCCGTTGCGTGCGCGCCAAAAACGATCTAAAAAATGTCCGTAACAGTATATACCTATCTTTTTAACGTGCGAGTGATAAACATTTAAATTAAACGGTTTAAAACTCCAATTTCTTTTTAACAACTAACCGACGTTTTAATAAATTGTGTAAGGCTTTCACAGCCATCGTTCAGCATATGATTGTCTTTCGGGCTGCTCGGCCGAACAATCCGAAAGACAATCATATGCTACATGACGTTTTGCTTTCCCTGTGTTTACGTTAATATACATGTTTGCGTTTTAAACCGTAATAAGCGATTAAACTGTTAGCAATAGATTTTTATTGCACTTACGTAAATGTTTAATTTCTTGATGTGGTTTAAAACATCCACTTTTGTCGTGACCATATTTCGATTACTTCGAGACCTTTATAAAAAGGAACGCCTTAAACGAATTAATCTTTACTCGCAAATTTAATTTCTCAAACGACACATATTAATGTATCGATCGATAATTCAAGCGTTAAAAACCAATTATAACATCGATGCAAGATTCGAGGTTTAACTCCAGAAAGATCCGGTTTGCAACCGTTCAAAGCTGTTAAACGAAAATAGGACAACGCAAACATCCATTAGTTAAATGTTATTAGATTAAATATAATTTATTCACGTCTGTGTTGACATAGTGTATGTGCACTTATTAATTACACTTTAAATAGAATTTGCGAGAAGATCTAGCAAGACGGTCGGCAATTTTTTTTTATTTTTACGAATTGCAACTAGCTTACGCCCGCGATAGTACCTGCGGTGGCATATTACTTCTCTATCTATTTTAAAAAGTATCTTATTTGGTCCGTTATGGATGTCGGTTCAAGTCCGTGCCGATTTTTTTTTTATTTAAATAGATAGATGTTTATTTAAAATATTTCTGTTGTTTACTTAGGGACCGTTCAAGTATTACGTAAGCACTATGGGGGGGGGGGGGGTTTTTTTTTTTTTTTTTTTTTGGGGGGGGGGGGGGGGGGGGGGCGGGGGGTTTGTTTTTTTTTTTTTTTTTTTTTTTTTTTTTTTTTTTTTTTTTTTTTTTTTTTTTTTTTTTTTTTTCCCTTTTTTTTTTTTTTTTTTTTTTTTTTTTTTTTAATATAAAAAAAAACATTTGTTGTTTAGTAAGCACGGGGGAGGGGGAAAAATGTTTTCTTTTTTTTGCAGGGGGGGGGGGGGGGGAAATTATTTTTGGGGGCTTAACGTTGCTTTAGTATACAAATGCATGTCTAAGCATACAAGTGAATGTTATGCTTAATTATTTTAAGCACAGGTAATATTTACGCGACACGATGCAAGTAATTTTATTTTTAACTACGACGACGAATTTGGACGTTTCTATCTCTGACACGTTAATGCTTTACTTCTGTAGTATTTGTGTTTTAATCAGTTAAGTATCCGCTACTTGCGTACACTACATAGAAATAATATTTAATCTTATGCTCGTATGTTTAGACATAAAAAAATGTAATAATCGCGCCGTGTCGGGCAAATTACATAAGATTACTACAAATTACACAGTGACTGGACATAACCTTAACCGCTAGAATATTCTAGAGCGAATTGCGAAATTAGACAAAGCTTTGCGCACTTAAAACTCACATAAATAATTACTCGGCGTTATGCAAAGGCTACTTCTGTAACTAGATAATTTGCTCTGCCCTGAATAGCATTATTTCGAATTTCAGGCGATCATTAATTATTACAAATATAATTTCGTATTGCGATTGTTACAAATTAAATATACACTTGTCTTAAAAAAAAGATGATTTTATTGAGAAACACGTTTGCGGCTTTCGAAGAAATTACGATATTCCGAAATCCCGCTTGGGTGGCTTCTGTCAAAATTTATGTTTTACATTTTGGACTGACGAAGCAGCGGTTTCTTAGATTACATTTTCTAAAAGACTAAATCTTGTAACACCGACTTGAATATACAAGATTATTGTCACGTCTAAGATATATTGAATTTCTGGACGCGAAGTTAATTTATTTTTATTTAACATTTACCAATACTTATTAATATCGATCAAAACCGGTAAAGAAACAGTCTTGCGGGCTATGCATACGATTTTACTGAAAACTGAAAATTAAAAAACGTAATTATACCTACTGCTGTTAAAAATGAGACTGACTTTGACTTTCCATAATTTTTTATTTATTTAGCATACCATCTAATTACATATGAATATTTAAATAAAACACTTTAACGGTTTAAACGCGATATATTAATTAAACTTATTTGAAAATGATTTTTAACTTCGTCTCCCCGTGACCACGGCTGCTGCAAAGCATACGAAACGTCGGGCCGTAGTCTCCCTGTGACCACGGCTGCTGCAAAGCATCCGAAACGTCGGGCCGAAGTTAAAAATCATTTTCAAATAAGTTTAACTAATATATCGCGTTTTAAACCGTTAAAGTGTTTTATTTCAATAATATAATAAAGAAACAACATAATAAAAACTAATGAGATGTGACAATTATGTATTTAAATTAAAGGTATACACAACATTGCCATTAAGAAAATAAGACATTATCTTAAGCTTGAATGTTATTTTTGCGAAACAGCAAGAAATGTGGACGAGTTGTTCAATAAACTACTTTTTCTCTGAGTTAGTAGCTAAGTTGTGTTGGTAATATTTTTTAAGGACTATTTTTATTGTATAAGCGTTAAGGCTGCACAGCCGGTTTTAATATTTTTTTAATTTACCCGTCAAAAAGGCCTAGTATACGTATGTAGGGTAACGTAGGGACACATTAAATAAAACACTTTTACTGGTTAGAAACACGAAACATTACATACATAAATAACTAGAACCGACGTTTTGAATGCTTTGCAAACTACAAGCAATCAGTAACTTTTATTTTATTTCACGTTATTATAAGACATCCGTTACAAGATTTTTATTAAAACCGTTGAAGATGTTTTATTTAATGGCTTGTTATAAAAATTTAACAAATGTACCTATTACACTAATAACTACTGTCTGTGATATTTTTTTTTATGAATGCGCAAGCGCATAGAAAACATCCACCGTATCAAGAGTCACAGAAAAATATATGTCTATTAACTAAAAGTTATAGAGATATACGAGATACCTCGTGATGATGCTACGTTGGTCCCAAAACCCAAAAAGGTAGCTAGAACTTGAAATGTTCTAGAACGTATAATCTAATCTGAAGCTCGGATCTATAAACAAAATATTAGCGCTGAACAAATTTAACGATTTAAAACTTGGCCTAAATACGGGCCTTTGACCGTTCGAAATTCTGACCTTAACCGTTGAATGATCTAGAAGGTATTGCATGTTTTAATATAAGTAAATGTTGGCTAAGTCAGTTGCGGTAAATATTGCACATTTTATGCAATATTTAATGGGGTATGATTTTCAGTCGGGCAGGGCACAGACGTTCGATAACTACTTACAATGAAACGGACAGAGAAATGTGTAAGCCCCATGCCTAAGCTATAATAATAATTACTGTGGTGGTGGATTAGAGTTAAGATATTATTTTTAATAACAGAAGATTGTGGCGCTCTTTTGATGAAAGGGGAAATGCCCCAGTTTATAATATCTTATTAAGATCGTCGCTTTCTAAGTGTTGTCGACATTGTTTTGCTTTGAAATCAATGTTCCTAACATTTAACCGTTCCTTGCATAGACACAGTAAAACTTAAGAAACATAGGCTGGATTGTGAAATAAAGCTTTTTAGCAAAGAATACACAAATATAATTAGTTACAATCTATACCGTAAAAATTGTAATTATATTGCATAAATTAATTTTATTTATATGAAAAGGCGTCCAACACCGTTTATTTTAAGATTAAATATTATTTTCTTTAGTAATTAAATAAAACAATATTTATCGAAAAGTGTTGAAAATAAAGTTTTACATATTTATTTAAACCTATAATATAATATAACGTTTATCTAATGTTGCGTTGGAAGGTAAAATAGCCCCAGCCATATCTCAATAAGATGTGCCGTCTACCTTTTTCAGCTTTGGATATTCAGAAAATTATATTTTAAATATTTCAAGAATTACGTTAAATGTCGTTTAATAATAAGCAATACTATGGGGGTAGAATGATATCTTTCGTGTGCCCCAATGTATTTTATCTCCAGTCATTTTATTTAGTCAAACACAAACCGACCTTTTCGGACGTTATAATTTCAAACTGTATTTTAATACTTGTTATTAATATCACAAGGAAGAATAAACCCGCCTGTTATCTAAACTTATAAGCAACAAATAGTTTTTTTTCTAAACGACTTCAACCGGAAGATAAAGCTATTTGAATGCCAGCATTTTTATTATGCGTGTATAAAACGTACGGTATGCTAATATGGCGTTTAATACCATATTAGAATAAAATCTATTAACCTCAGCCTAGCTCTTGATAAAAACCCATCCTGATTCATTGTATTGTACCAAGAAGGTGCTTCTGCGGTTATTCTGTTTAGAATAAAAATCCTTGATTCTCTTAACTGCAAATGTCGCATATTAATACGTAACCTCTACATTCAAAATATGGAAGTATTAAGTTATTAATGTAAATAGATTGATTAAAAATTGGATTAAATTTTTTTAAATTTAAATTTATATCAAAATTTATATCTATTCAAGTACAATTCACACAACAAGACGCAGAATATTATTATAAAACACTGTCTGTAGTTATGCGTAACTTAAATATAACACATTTCCGGTCTAAAACGCGAATTACATATTTTAGTTTTTTTAAATAAGTTTAACTAATATATTTCACGTTTTGAACCGTTAAGGTGTTTTATTGAAATCTTTATAAAAATTGTACTTTTAGATGTAAAAAAACTTACTCTTTGGTTGCCGCGTAATCTGCCCTTTCCTCCGCTTTTCAAACAGCCTGTTGATAATCGCATCCTTCCGTTCGTTGAAGTCTAAATCATCGTATTTATTTAACCCTTCGCACTCAGAAAAGTTCGCCTCGTAAGTCCCACTATCTAGATCTAGATTCTTCAGTCTATTATTGGTGAAGTCCCGCAGCTCCCGTTCCCCCGTGTTCACAGAGGAATACTGCCTCCCCGTAACCCGACTCCATATTTGAACCAGATCCTTCATGTTTACTCACTAACCATAACGTAAAAACTGACAGATTTTTCCAGTACGCCACTAATGTCTTTTGATATTAAATTAATGGCCGATCGATTCGTAATAACACGGTTTCGTAAAAACAAACTCCAATGTCAGACGTTTGTATCACGATTGCACAAATTGAAATAAGCACATAGAATATGCACACACCTATTATTATCTGTATCACAATATAATCACGATAATTGTTAGTTCTGAAAAAAAAAATGTCACATTCTTTTCCCGCGCTGTCAAAACATCGGTCGCGTGCAACAGATAACGCACGTTTTAAGTAGCTGTGACTGCACCGGGCAGCGGTCAGGCCATGTAATGAAACCTTCGTTCAAGATATGTTCGGCTTATATATAATATTTCGCATACGAGGCTCTCCGTGTGACGTGTTGTGGGACTGGTTTTTTTTTTAACTTACACGCAATAATAGATTATTAATCATGCATTGGAAGAAATGATTTTGGCCGGTTAAACGATCAGGGTCAAGTTTTTGGGCTACCCGGATGTATGTTGACCTCTTTGGTAGTTATAAAAATATTACCGTAATAATAGCAACATTTTAATAAGCCGAGACATTGTCTATCGCGGTTCTTGAGAATTTACAAACATCAGGTTTTTTGTAATTAAGCAGTTATCTTAAACACTGAAACCACACACGAAAATACGATATAATTAGATTGGCATTTGTTTTAGGCTAGCAACACCGTTTGATTGTGTAGAGTTAATGTACTGTATTGCTACAAACTTACATAAGAAAAAAGTTGTTGCTACCGACACAAAAATATTTGCAAAACGTTACATTTTACTTATTATGTTGCTTTCTTTTGAAATTCAAACTCTTTTATGTTATATCATCTTCATTCGCAACTATATACTTATATGTGTCAAACCAGTCAGTATTAAAAATAATATATTACAAATTAATAGTATTGTATTTTTTGTAACTAACCTGTTTCCATTCTGTTCTAAGTATTTGCTTAGGTTTTTGATATCCACTAGAGAATAAAAAGACACCGTTACAATAGAGGTTTTTAAAAGGGGATGGTTAAAGAAACTACAACATTTTTCTTGATAACACAAAACAAACCAACTCAACTACCTTCAAAATATAAGTCTTTTCTTGTCTTTTTATTTTATTTTATTCTTATAAATCTAAATAGATTTGTTTATTTCTAGGTAAAGAAAGTTTTGATAAATCGAAGCATATTCATTACAAAAAACAGGTTTATTAGTAACGAGAATTATTTGTACTTGTCAAATTTTCTAATAATTCGTTGTAGTAGTAGGTCACTGGGTTATAGAAATAAGACAACGACAAAAAATTGTCGCTTGATAGTTATTTTATCACTTATACACGTCTTATTAATTCATATTATATTTATGAAAAAGGAGGTCTCAAATATTATCCGTTCTATTGTGAGAATAAGCTTTGTAGTTTACGCGAGTAGTACACAGCCGCCGTGGCATTTAGTTTGTAGCAGAGTTTTAAAGATCATCGTATAAAGCCGTTTAAAGTGTTTTATTTATAAAACATTGAAAACACTAAGGTTACTTAATGTGTTGTACCACTCGAGTGCAACACATTAATTAATATCTTTCAGACGGTTTAAAATGCGCAATACAATACACTAAACTTATGCCTAAACACAATTTTTTATTTTATTTATTTTTTTCAAAGCCCACAAAACAGTAAACCATAATATTTCGCCTTTGTCTCGGCAAAACTGTCCTTTACGGTAGCATTTATTTGGTGTTTACTCATAACATCTAAACAGGATGCACTCTAGACCTGTTTTGGCTTTGGCTCGGAAATCCACAGACTGAAAACGAAGCGCGAATTGAAAACATTGCTTTATTATCTGTGGCCAATGAATTGTGATTCGGACGGAATTTCGAAGTTTTACAGACGACGTCCAACACGTGTCAAAAAAATATAAATTGTGTAGATCTCGTTGGACCCGGTGGGGATCGAATCCACGATCGTTTATTAGCCATACATTGCTTGCTATTAAATTAACAAACTTGTACCCGAAGTATGATGTAACTAAGCATAAATTAAGAGAAATTATCTTTTATCACATTTTTGCATAAAATGTAGTTTCTTTATTGATCCATTTGGAAATTAAGATCTTGTTTTTTTGCCAACGCAGATAGGTGGCTTAAAAAAATTATACTGCAAGGTGGACCGTCATTGGTTTTTCCAAGACCATTCAATAAGTGGAACATTTTATAAGCCCTAGGAACTTTCCACTTCCTTCGTTAAAAAAGGTATTTTCTTTCATTGTAGATTTAGCATGACTCAATATGGTAATATGGCTTGGATAGTAAATGAGAGTCCTTAAAAGAACGATCACTTGTTGGGTTAATGCGCTGTCGGCCTATAATATGTCGTTTTGGACGTTAATATAATGTACCTCGTATGATTGATTTCCCCAAAACTTAAGTGGTTACCCAGTTAGCAAGAATACTTACTAATAATTCTATAGCAACGAAGTTAAAAATGGATTTCAAATTGATAATATTTTACGACTCAGAATTGAACCGGCTTCCACAGCGTTCCGTGCTATTGCTCAACCAAATGACCCATGTAGCACTTGTCCCGGTAGCTCAATTGGTCTGTTTTTAATTGATATAATTCCATAATGTGCCACATGCGAACAATATTAAAGTTTTCAGACTACGAAGTTATTATTTCAAAATACTAATTACTTAAGTACGTGTGTGAAATTTGAAAATATATCCTCAAACATGTGCAAACGAAACGAGTAATAAAAGTTTCCTTCAGAATAATCGTAATAATTTTTTCGTTACAAAATTTGAAAAGAGCAAATTAAACAACAAATAAAGTTGCGATTTTAAAATTGCATTTATTTCGCAAACAAAATACGCAATGGAACCGTTATTTTGATTCATTACAGTACCTACTCGAATTTTAAAATTACAAATGAATATAGATTGTTATGTATATTTTGATGACCTTGTCATCTATCCCACCTGTCAAAGATCCTTTGTTTATCTCTTTTCAAATATATTTATAAATAATCTTATAATTGAAATCATCAAAAACTTGTATTAAACCTTAATAAGTCATTATTGTTAACATTCTAAGTATACTATCTGTAGTATCTGTAAGCAGTGCACATTTAAATAGCACTTTAACGGTTTAAACCGCGAAAAAATTATTATTAGTTTAAATCTTATTTACAAATTATTGTAACTGCACCGACATTTTGCAGGAGCCGTGGTAACGGGGAGTTACGTGGTCTTAGTTAAAATGATTTGTAAAATACGTTTAAAAATATTTCACGTTTTAATCCGTTAAGGTGTTTTATTTATATGAATAAAGCGTTAGAATTAAAATAAAGTGTTTTATTTTGATTCGAAGTATTTTAATTAGCGAATTGACTAATATAGTATATTAAACAGTCAAGATTGTTTTATATATTATATATTAATAGAAAAGTATTGAAATGCATATCATATCGTAAAATTGCATCTCTCTAGAAAACAACATAATTGATAGTTGAACATAATGATGTTACGTGCGGCCTCAAAACATCGTCCGCCATCTTTATAGTTGGCTGAGTGTACCGCTTTCGTTGCTAAAGAAATTCAATGTTATCTATACACTAGCTGTGTCAGCGACTTCGTCCGACAAACAAACATACAAACAAACTCTTTAGCTATTATCTTAGTAATAGATTGCTTTGTTTAAATCTTTAATTTCGTATAGTGTTATTTTTATGACAACTGGAGACAGAGAAGTAAATGGTTAATTTTTAGTATCGTAACTGAAAGGTGAAATACCCTAGCCGTATAGTATCTTAGAATATGCGCTGTCAGCCTATTTAGTTTTTAGTTAGTGGAAATCGATAGACGCGGTATTTCGTTATTCCAACTACCCGAAGAAACAGTAGGAAATGTTGAAAAACGGGGACACATATTCTATCTGTAAGTCCAGGCTCTGCGAAAACTGATCTTTTGATATTATCTCGCAAAAACCGTTTTATGGTAATCACATTTGGACACAATAATGCACAATCACCGATTATTTGTTAGAGTTGCATCAACATAATAATATAATAAAACAAACGAACCCTTTACCTTTCTAAAAAATACTCAGATTATAAGAATTTAATTCCTAATCAAAAATTTTTATTCTAGAATTTTGCTTTTGAGTCCCGGAATAGTTTTAAGAAAGGCATAGAAGGTCAAGTAATTCGTCACTGAGGCCGCTAGAGCCAGAGTAGCGTAACTGTAATTTTATGACTTATTCATTTATTGTCGAAAAATGTAAATCTACAACAGCACAGTGATTGAAAATTGTAAACAGAATTCTTACACAAATAATAGTACAAATTCATTTTCGCAAGTTAATTGCGCACGTTTATTTCCCCACCTTATTGAAAATCATGATTTTTGTTATTAGGCAACTCTGTCTCTAGCAGCCCCAATTACTATAATATAAGAAAAGTGTGTAAACTTCATTTAGGTATTTCCAGTAGGCTAAACAAATCTACTTTTACTTAAGTCACATAATCCATTATTTACGGAAAGATTTTTAATAGTCACGATGAGTCGTGATACTTCATTCACAAATAAAGATTAACACCTCGAAAAATATGAACTTTGGACTACCGCCTTACTATTGCAGTGTCATCTCATTTACATTAGGTCACCAAGGAGGAATAGCGTATAGCCATGTGACATGTAAAAAGATGCGCTTTCCAGGTGGACAGAAAACAGAGTAGGTATTTTGGCTTCAGATGTAACCAACCAACAATTTCAACACATCGCGTTTTGGTTTCATAAATTTCACGGTTTTTTCATCCATTTAATATCCAGATTTCCAGACGTAGTCCAAAATGTTTAAATAAAATTTTAATCACGTTAGACCCGGTGGGGATGGTCCCCACGACTCGTTGATTAGAAGCAAGTCAAAATAGAACAAATTTTCGAAAATACTGTCTGCAGAT